TGAAGGTTGAGGGGATGGGGGGAGGGGGCTGGGGGGTGGGTAGGAGGGGTGGGAGGGTGGTGGTGTTCATGTTTTTTTTTTTTTTTTGGTGGGAGGTGGAGGAGGATGAGGTAGTGGTGGTGGTGGCGCTGTCTGAGCTGAGGAGGTTGGATATGCTCATGGATTTCCCCTCTTGTCTTGGGGAGGCGCTGGCTTGGGTGCTGTTTGATGGGCTTTGGGGGAGGTGCGGTGGCGGGCGGCCGTTCATGTATGCTGATGCTGGGACGTAAGGGCTGGCAGAGGGGCCGCCCATCAATACTGGTGGGAGAGCGCTGTCGTGGTGGAGGGAACTCCCTCTTGAACGGGGGGATTGATGGGGATACTGTCGTGGGAGCCCTTGGCTGTGGTGGTCTCGGAAGCTGTTCATTTGCCTCAGACGCATCTCGTGGGCTACCTCGTCAGATGACCGGTCACTGGCTGTTGATGATAGGGTGGGCGAGCGCCGGATGTCGACTGCCCGCCTGGAGAAGGCATGGGGGTCGTTGCTCGGACCAGGGAACTGCGGAGGTGTCTGCCCGACTGGCGAGGGGGTTGCGTAGTCTGAATAGTAGCCCGGTTTCCCTCCCGGGTAGGAGACGTCTCGTCCATTTGGCATTGCAGGAAGGTGGCTTGCTCCTGCAGTCGATATCATGGTGGCCATGGAGGGCAGCCGTGGCGGCTGGGTGAGGTGAGAGGGCTGTGGTGGTGGGTACGGTGGGTGCTCTGGAGCGTAGTGCCCATGTCCGGGGGCATATCCCTCGTGGTAGCTGTGATGTGGTCGAGACATGCTGTCGACGTCCAACATGGGATGACGGCCAAAGTCGTGAGGAGCAAAGTCGACCACTGTAGACATTGGGGGAGGCGGGATCACAAATGGATGAATAGAAGAGGGGATCCGAGCCTTTTCATTACTCGGTCAGTCTCTTGTCTTGGAACTGGTCAGAAAGCTGATCTGCAAAAGGTGGGCAGCCGTACACCAGAGAGCCACTTGCTGCCGGGCGAGAGCAGCCACATATACGAATCCGGGTAGCCGGGTTGAAGGGTCGGAAGTGAGGCCTTGTCTCAGCGGGGGAGAAACAATGGTAGGCCACTAGTCGAGCCTCGAGCCAACAGTGTGTGCCGAGCTCTTGCAGGGAGGTGGCAAGGGTGAGAGCCCGGGATCTGGGATCTTGCGATCTTGATGCTGTCTCTGTGTTTGGCGGTGATGCTCACCGAGGAGCAGGGGTCTCGTGCAGCTGCAGAAGCCACAAATGAAGACAGGGCCAGCTGTGGTTGGATGGTTGGACCAGCTCTGTGGCCAGCCGAGGGCACGCGTGGGTGTCGAAGGTTGACGTTGTCTTGTATCACAGCGCCACCGGTCTGGATACCATCAAGTTCACACCGTGGAAGCAGGTGGTAGGGATGTGCTGGCCAAAGGTCGGGAGCAGCAGCACAAGACAAATGCGCAGTGTTCCGAGTCGGAATCGAACGGAGGGGAGCCGGAAGAGAAGTTCGAGTCTTGTTTGCCCAGGTGGTGAAAGCTGCAGGGCCGCCTGCTTTTATCATCTGTGTTCAGGTGCAGCAACAGCCCTGCCGTACAAGCTCAGGACTCGGCTCTTGACAGGCGGGTCTGGTACCACGTCCCGGCTCGATCTGGGGTCAGAGGGTAGCAGCTAGGGTAGTAGTGTAGCAGGGTATCAAGAGGGGTAGCAGGCAGTCGGGATATTTCAGAGCAATATGGTAAAGCCGGGCTGGTGGGCCATGGTGTGAGAGGATATATTGGCCTCCAGCTGTTGCCCGCCGCGGTGGAGGAGCACTTAAAGTAAGAGAAGAGGCGCCGGCGACCTGACGGTCCGTGAGTGGATGGAAGAGGTGCGTTCTGCAGATTGCCCGACAGGGATCGCAGGGGCTGATCGCGACAATCCAGCAAGCGGGTTAACGGGACCATCCAGTCCTAGTGTAGGAATGGACCAAGCACCTACCTACCTGCAGTCGAACCCTTGGATCGGGGGGTAGGCCTATCAAGGCCAGCAATGAGGTGTGGGATGTGTTTGGGATCTGGCTTGGAAGCTTTGGAAGACAGCTGAGGCACCGGGAGCGGGCTAAAATCCGCAGAGACGGGACAAACACCGTCTGTCAGCCTGATCAGCAGTTAGTTCAGCACCGATATGGCCCGTTGTTGCACAGTGTACTTCCTTTCTTTGCAGTGTGCGGGGGAGATGGGGCCCGCTCCGTGGACGGCGATGCTTCCACGGCGGGGACCTTGGGGACTTGAGATATGAGACCTTTGACCACCACAGGGTGAACAGTGCGAGTCATCGCCAGAGCCTGTGTAAGGGGGCCTAGGAGACGACGGGAAACAAGCCATCCCGCTGGCAAGCCGAACACCGGCTGATGTCAACGAGATGGAGTGAAACCCAGTTCCATTGCTGAACCCGTCCTTCGAGTCGTCTCATCATGGCCCGGCTCTCTCAAACAGTCCCGGAATTCTCCCACGGGTTTGACGTTGTCAATAGCGAGCCGATTTTGTTACACAGCAGTCAAGAGACGAAAAGGCAAGAAGGCGACCGGAGGTCTGGGCCAAGTTCGCCAAGACAAGTCCGTGACTGCACGGAAGAGAGGTTCCTTTTGCTGCCCCTCCAAACCATCGTGTTGATTGCCCGGGGGTAGAGCATCGTGGGAGCTTCATCATTTGCGAGTGGAAAGCCAGCGCATGTGGATAGAGATGCATATCAGTGATGGCGCTAGCCAGGGTTAGGACCGCTAACAAGACCATAGCGCGCGGGCCATCCAACCCCCGGCTACGGCAGTCACAGGTCCACACTCCACCGCAACCCCCGCCGCTCTCCTACTTCTTTCAACACTTCTCCCATCGACAAAAAGACCGGAACACGTTCCAGTGCCGTTGAGCGGTGGTGAACTCTTGCCCACGACTCGAAATGTCTACCTTTTCGCCTTCTTTTAACTTGACCCCGCGAGCTGCGGGCTGCAGGCTGCTGGGCACCTCGTCCTCGTCACACAGCACACGCCCTCGAAAACCAAAAGACTCACGACGCCCTCACAATCTTACCCTGTGAGGTGGCCGCCAAGGCAGAGAGACACCCCCGGACAAAATAGCCGTGCCGTCCCCCAGGATGATCCAGACGTTGGGGTCTTTTTCTCGGTTCCGTCAATATTAACTTTTTAGAGTTGTATTAACAGAACCGTCTGTCCCCCGTCACAGAATAGATTGCCCACCACACGTGTCACTCGAAACATCTGCCGGCTTTATTTTGCAGATGAAGCTGTTGACGCCTTCCCGCCGCCGGTTCCAGTGACCCGGCAGAGTCTTCTCTTCTCTACAGTACAAGTCCAGAGACCGGTCCAGCCAGCGGTGTGGCTCTCTTACTCGCAATCGCCTGCTTATGCTCGGCAAGCCACACGACGCCATATGCAGTCAAACACTGCAACCCCTATGGTCACTTTTATGATGTGGCCCTCCTTCGATCCCTCATCTTGCAGCAGATTTCTGATCTCGACTCTGAATGGACCACGCAAACATCCTCCGCCGTGTTTGTTTCTGATCATCGTGGGTCGTGGATGTGAATGTGACGAAAGGCATTCTGTCTTCCATTGGCTGCAACGCCGCCCCTTTCCTCTTTGCTGAAGATGGGCCAGCCATCCGCATTTCGGTAACTATAGGCACCGTCTAAGCAGCTAGGATGCCGATGTCTTTCGGTTACATTTCTTGTTGGCCGGAGGCGGGCTCGAGGGCCTTTTCCACGTCTGCACTGTCAGCAAACCCCCGTGCCTACTGTCAATCACTTGCCCATCATAACAATGCATCAAGGCGGATCAGAAATAGCAGGGAGAGTCTTGCCGCGGACCGGGCGGTTGCAGCGCTTCGCAGCGGGCGGGCGAACCATCTGCGCGAACAACTGGACAACCGCGGCCTGAACATATCAAAGCGTACGGCTCGACAATAGTTGCCTCACTCGGAGTCTACAACCAGAATAACCTCGCCATGTCATCGGTCTGCGAAGCCTTTTTCAGAACCTGCAAGCTTGCCGATGTGTCAGACAAGGGCCAAGAGGGGTTCACAGGGGTCACCGTCATGAACGCGGTTCACGGATCCTGACAGGGTTCGCCAGCACCCGTGGTTGGAAAGATGTGACCCTGATTCCCGGTTTCTGTCTTGTGCCCCACGATGGGGGCGCTGGGGGGAATAATGCCGCTTAAAATGCTTGTGGCTAATCAGCGACTTGGCTAACCACGGCAATCGTTTGGGCTCTAGTGGCTCTTCAGCATCCAAGCAGACGCTTATCGCTCACAGCCAGCCCCCAGTTCCATGCGTCGTCACACACAAGTCCAGCACCTACGCATGCTCTTCAGCCCCCGTCATCCCCGTCATTCATGGCTCGAAGACTAGCTTACTAGCTAGCTCTCTGCTTCGTCTCTCCTCGTCTTTTCAGTGGTGTTCCTCCGGGCTTCACTTCTCGGTGCCGAAACATAAAGGCAGAATACACCCCCGTGCCGTAGAGAAGCAGACAAGATGGGGCCGGACGGGAACTGCTCCAACAAAAGAGGCCCTCGGCTACCGGAGTGCCAGTAACACGATTCGGTCATTCCTCTCTGGGGAAAAGGAGGGTTACTTGTGTGGGGCACTGATCGTCCCGTCCCTGGGCCCGGCAAGCGGCGCGAAGATTGGCTTCCCACCGTCTATCATCGCTTCCACCATGGACTCTTGGCGTCCGAGACCATACAACGACGCTTGACTTTACCTGACGTTTGAACCAGTTAGGTGTAGATGTCATGTGATGAATCCTGTCATGGGACGATCCTTACTTCAACAGAGCATTAGGCGGAACAAAGTCAGACAGGACGGGCTAACAACCTTGCTCTTCAGGTTGCTTTCGATCCCGTCGTCTCACCGTTCTAGTTGTATACATCCGCTCCGTCAATGCGGCATGCTCCATCGGCCACTGAACTGTACCGTTCAGGTTATTGTTTTGAAACGCCTTAACGAAGGGTCCCAGCCATTGCTGATGTCGTACCAAACTTGGGAGTCGTCCTGTGCTTGGCTACTTCAGCCACAGATGCACTTTCGTTTCATCGAACACAAGTCGCCAACACCCACACTCCATCGGCCCGTCCAAGCCCCGGATTTGGCATGGCTTGCTGACGACGACATGACGGACGACATGGACGGGCTGCTGAGATCGATGGCTGTTTCCAGGTTTCTATTTCCAAACCCCCCAGGTCGACGCTCAACCAGACACTTGCCGCATCCTGACAGATGCTATGGCACCCACCCACCAACTACCACCTCCCGTCAAAGTCAAGCGCGCCTTTGCTTACGCATACCCCACGATATGGGGCCAAGTTACATTGCCATCTACATTTGAGATCAAGCATCGCCAAAGTTGAACGGATGTCGGGCATTTCCAGACCTCTTCTCGGTGTCCTGATTGGAACGGCACGGAAATAGGACGTCGCGGCTCGCTCATAATCATCTCATAAGCAGCCACAGTACAGGACCGTCAGTTCTGCGACTAAATGAATATCGACGCAAAATTTCAATATGCGCCGAACATTAGGCCGGGCGTTTTATCGGTCCTCCTGCGTCGGTCCCGAGACTGCAATGTTCTTTTCTACCACGGAAGTTGCAGCGAACTAACTGAATAACGGGGGGAGAGTCGAGCAGACTGGCACCCATGCTCTTGCCATGCCATACCGGTCGAGACACTCTGTTGGCACTTGTTCTTTTGGCCCTAAAGACACCAAACCGCCTCTCATGAGAATATGGTTCACCAAACCAATGAGCCAACCATAAGGCTTCTGACAGCC